CCGGCAGCTTCTTTCACAGTTGCTTCCGAGCATGATGGACTATTCTTTCATGGCCGCACAAGTGGCATGTTCCGATAGCCTCTTGTCGTGAAATTAACTAAAACTATATTAGCATTTCGAGGAGCAAGAAAATTGGAAAATATTTTTATTCATTATTATTGTTGTAGTTATAAATACTATATTATTTTTATTTTTTAAGATTAGTATACAGAAGTAGTGAAATCAATAAACAGTTGTTTTCATATTTTCTTTTGTAAAATTTTTAAAAACTACAATATATAAATAAAAAGAAGGTAATAGTTTTATTATTAAAAATAAAAACCATAAATAAAACATCATTTTCTCAAAGTAAACAAGTATACTTAATATATGTAAATTGTGTATCTCTTAAAATTATATATATATATATATATATATATAAATTTTAAATTATAAAAATTAAGGATTGTCATTTATATGATAATGTATGAGTAAATAATATATATATATATATATATATATATATATATATATATAGTCGATGTATTTTTATTAATTTTTTAAAAATAAATTAATAAACTCGTTTTTTTTATGAAATGTCATAATAGCTTCACTCACCCTAAAGCCATGCAAGCATGCATCTAGGTATTGCCTATTGTTTGATATATTTATCAATCACACAATAAATTTTGTTAAACATTAAGTTACCTCCATTCATGAAAAAAATTGCACATTCAGCTGACTATAATTTCAATTAAAAAATTTGAAATAACTATTTCAAAATATACATTTTATTTAAAATGTTATATAAAATTTGAATTCTATTTCTATTGTACGGTGAGAATGGGGTCACGAACATGACAAGCCAACAATACTAACGCAACAATATCAATGAGACTAACGGTGAGAGTTTGAACCTTGTGGTGTCCCATTTCGAGAATAACATTTTATGAAACACAAAGAATAGCTTTAAACATGACATATGATCATAAATATAGAATAAATTTTATGTTATATTTAAATACATAGATTAGAATGTCCGATTGTTTGAAATCATAAAAAAAAAATTATATTCTAAATATATTAAAATCATGGTATATCTGTTTGCTTCAAATCCCTTTCCTTGTCCTTAACGAAAATATTTGTCATTGATAATGTATTTTCCCGTATTTTAACATGTATAAAATGAACAAATTATAAATTCTTTGTAAGTTAAAACGATAGAGAAATATAAGAAACGGAATATAAATTTTGGACTTTTTTACATAAATAAAACATTTTAAAAATAAAATTACGCATATATCCTTAAAATTTTTTTACATAAATGTCTTAAATCTTATGCATTAAAGTCGATTAAAAACGACTTACTTACCATAATTCTATTTTAGAAGTCGATTGAAATCAACTCCCATTTTCACTATTGTTATTCCAACAGAAGTCGATTAAAGTCAACTTTCTTGCTGTGAAGAAGATGATTGTAGTTGACTTTCATGCTCCAAAGAAGTCGACTTCCATTTATTGATTTCTGGTTCTTAGAAGTCGATTATAATCGACTTGCATGGTAAAAGAAATTCATTAAAATTGACTTCAGTGTGATTCTGGGAGCCAGTATAATCGACTACTTCATATATATCATTCAGCCTCTTACAACCATAGAGAATGGAAACTAGAGAAAGTGAGATAGAAGAAAAGCAGATACAAACGGATGAAAATGGATAACGATCTATATCAGCTTAATTTTATTGATCATATTGCAAGCAAGTTTAACACACAGGTAAATTAATTTTTAAATATATTTAATTAAATTATAATTAATTATTTTTATATTTAATTTAATGTATTATTAATTATGTAATTATTATTTAGAAAGATGTGTAAATGTTAATTATTATATTGTAAATTTAATTTAATTGTTTGTTATAATTATAATTATTATACTAAGGAATGTAAATTAAAAATCTATTATATATTTTTAATTATTATGATAAATTAGTTTTGTGTTGTAGTAATTTATAATTTATAATAATTTTGTATATATTATTTTATTATTATACATGAACCTTGTATTTTAAAAAGTAGGCGTTATAATATGATGGTCACTCCAGATTCAAGAATGGAACCATTTCTTAGGGAGATTAGTTTTTGGCATGTTGCACAGATGGTTTCAATATTTGATTATTATAAGACACTCATAAGTACACTTGTAGAACGTTGGAGACCCGAAACACACACATTTCATCTTTCATATGGAGAATGTACAATCACTTTGGAGGATGTTGTGTTTCAGTTTGGCTTACGTGTAAATGGAGTCCCTGTGAGTGGTTGTATTTGAGCGTGAGAGAAATTTTATGATATGAATATATGGACATTGTGTGAAAGTTTACTTGGAGTAGTTTCTGATGAAAGTAACATAAATTTTTTTTTCGTAAATTTACAGTAGTTCATAGATACATTTGGAGCATTACCTCACAATGCTGATAGACAGACTATTATCCGTTATATTAGAGCGTACATAATGGTAATATTGGTGGAGTATTGTATCTAGATAAATCAGGATTTAGGATTCATATGAAGTGACTATCTCTTTTAACTAATTTTACTGATATTTCAAACTATATTAGGGTTCTGATATTCTAGCATCCCTTTATCGTGAGGTTTGTCATGCGGTGAAATATAATGTCACCAAGATTGTAAGTTGTTTGCCTCTTCTACAGTCTTGGGCATGGTATAGAATACCTCAATTAGCCCTTAGGCACCATCATCCTCTTACTTTTCTACTAGCATTGAGGTACATATATTTATTAATATATTATTTTTTGTTATTTATATATGTTAAATTTGCAAGTAAAAATTAATTATGCCTATTTCAGGTGAAAAAATTATAGGTCATCGACAAGATCAGATACAGATAAGTTATTGTGATATAGGAAGATCATTGATTCAATTGCCATTACTGAGATAAGATCAAATAACATGTATGTTACTGAATTTTGTTTTAAATAATTATATTTTTTTGTCTAATATTTGTTATTTATTATTTCAATTTAGGTGGATGCCCTACAGCAACAATAAGGTCAAAAATATTACACCTCCTTTCGTGTATGATGAGGCTAATGTTTGAAAATTTGTGATTGCTCTTATATAGTTTACTGTGATTGAGTGACACCCTGTTGATCACGTAGTTCGACAATTTGGTGGAACACAACACATACCAATCAGCCCGATAAATATTGATTGGTTGCATGCTAAAGATAGGAGGGGTGATCTAGATATATGGTTGTTTGATTATCGTGTGACATGACATGCTACATGAGAGGCACGTAGGGACTAACGAGTTCCATATCCTCTAGCTAATGATGATCGTTCCTCTGTCAAGTACTTTCAGTGGTCAGTCGCTAATAGATTTTTGTCGTTGGATAGAGCCCCACAAGATGCAGAGCTTAGGAACTTACCTGATGGTGTACCACTACATGCCCTCAGCACCTAACGTAACACACCCTGATGACATTCCAGATAGACGCTCTTTCATGCGTTGTTTGTGTGCATGTACACATGCTAGTAGATGTCAGTACCATGATGAGGCGCATATATCAGCCAACCTCTCAGCACACGATGTAGAACTTGATGCAAATCCAACTATATAGCATGCCTCACACTACGTATACTACCCGACACCCACATACTCTAGCCACCACGTCATGTCAGGATCTAGCCAACAACAGTACATGGCTGGTCTTTCTCAGCACCAGTTCATGTCGGGCCCTAGCAAACCATGTATGACCCCTAGTTAGCATTTTATGGCAAGTCCTAGTCATCAATTTATGTTAGATTCTTTTCTTTCTCCTAGTCCTATGCAACAGGGTGATATTGCACGACATATATCTTTCAGTCCACCTTTCATGTCAGATGCTGATGTTATGACTTGGCTAAAATTGACCGGTACAAGCAGATCTATGCCACCACTAGATAATCTATATAGATCATCACTAACACATATTCGATCTCCTTCCTTTAATGGTTTATCGGAGGAGGAAGAGTATCAAACGAATGTTCAACAGTAGGAAGCAGATGACCAGTACATGCATGACTAAAATCAGTAGGAGGAGGAACATACACATTGCAGACTTGTACGACAGATTGTATATCGTCGTTGTGCAATAAGAGTCACTTTGCTGGACCCAGACGCAACAGACGTGGCCCATATTCACATATGCTGCATATTTTCTGTACTTTAGAATTTTATTTTTATGTACTTTAGAATTTGAATTTTATACAGTTTATAATTTAAATTTTATGTCTTTTAAAATATTATTTTTATATTGATATCAATAATTTATAAAATTATTATACAAAAATATTAACAAATTTAATTAAAATTATTATTTTTCTTTAATTTAGATAAAAAATTTAAAATATATATATAACTTAAAGCACAATATATGTAACACCAAAATGCGAAATCTAAAAATGCATTACAAAATTTGATTATAATCGATTCTTTTCTAACATAAAATTTGATTATAATTGACTTTTTTTATTGAACTATAAAAAATAATTATAATTAACTTCTGTATTCATGTTTGAAATCAGTTTTAATCAACTTTTATATAATTTAAATTAGGATATTTATGTAAAAAAAAAATTTGAAAATATATACGTAATTTTATATTTAAATTGTTTTATTTACTAAAAAAGCCGTAAATTTTGCCTAATCATGAAATATACATTTCCTGTTGTCATCAATAGTATATATTGGCTTATTAGCATTTTGGCAAAAGTTTTAAGAAACGACGTCGTTATATTCAGCTTTATCTGTTTTCTAATTCCCAATCCTTTCTCTCTCCTCTCCCCCCTTTGCTAAGAAAACTCTTTTATCCGTTTTCATTTTCTAATTTCTTTCCTTTTTTCGTTCCCAATTCGATTCATTTCGTTGCTGAATCGATCCCCTTGCCCTCGTTGCAAACGCTAACTCCTTGATTAGGCCTTTCTTCATCCCTGTTTTTTGTTACATAATAAATGCAATGACTAAGAGTTCATTTAAGATGGAACATCCCCTTGGTTCGTTTCTACCTTTTTTCCCACCATTTTCTTCTGTTCCTCTAATTTTCCTTTGTGGGTTACGCTGAATGGTTTATTTTATGCGACAATTCATTGATTTTATGTTTCCTATATGGTAATAGTCCAGGGCATTTGATATTTGTGTAATCAGAGCAATATAAGACATTTTATTTTTAATTTTGGGATACGAAAAATGGGTGTTGTCCATTACTATCATCGTCTGAACTCTATTCCATAAGGTTGGAAACTTGTTAAACAAAAATAGTATTTAGATCCATATTTTTCATCCGCCCTAAGAAAAGATGGGGAAAAAAAGGACATAAGGTTACACAATTAAGATTATATGCTTTGTTTTAATCTCTCCATTTAGCTTAGTACAAACAATGTGTTATAATATGCTTTGAAATCACCACAACGCAGAAGTTACAGCTAATAATAACATTGAAATAAGTGTGGATCCGTGATCAAACATGAATTCAAACAAATACATATCTTAAATCTAATTTTTTTACTAGTTGGTTGATCAAACGTGATACTTGTTGTGAAAGGTGGTTAGTTGTTGATGTGTGAATGATAACAATGTTTTTCCTTCATGTATGATGTGTTTTGCTTTATCATGTCAAAATGTATGCACTAAACATCGTACCTAAGTGCACATAGACAAGTACTTTCTTTCTATTACTACCAACTTATGTTCTATGATTTGTGCCAGAAAGGAGGCAGGCTGAAGCTGCTCGTATAAGAGAAAAGTATCCTGATAGAATTCCAGTAAGAGTCTTTTCTTTTTTTTTTTCCTGTTCTTGTTGTATGCATATTCATAATAATCTCACTTCATTATTATTGATTTGGTTGATCTTTTGGGTGTAGGTAATTGTTGAAAGGGCTGAGAAGTGTGATGTTCCTGATATTGATAAGAAAAAGTTAGTTTCTTCTTCTTCTTAGAAAAAAATTATGAAAATTGACATAGTTAATCAGTCCTTTCTAGTTGAAGTTTTACCATGCTTTATCTGGTTGAAGTATTAACATGGTAAACAGAGGCAGAAGCAGAAGCCTTGTGCAAAAAAAAAGAAATTACAAAATGAATTGGAAAAACAAGGATCACTTCAAAATTGCATTAGATTGATAGATTGTTTTTATGGTTTCATTGGTGAAACCCCACTAGCAGATTTCATTATTTGAAGCAGTAAAACCTGTCTGGTCTGATAACAAATGAAAGTGGAGTTTTGGTTTAGGCTTCAGTGATAACAAAGGTAAATGTTGAATCCCGTGTGAAAAACATGGACTGAAGTTATCTATATGCTTAGTCTTTGTTCTAATTGAAATTTGATATGCTTATCATTTCGTGTTCTTCAACAGCCTTTTGGTTTAGTGGCACAGCCTTCATTATAAAATATGAGGTTGGATGCTTTGGTCTGTTCACACAGCATCCCAAAATTAAAGTAAAAATTGCGTTGGAAATGCTCTTCAAATGCCAGAGAAAATAAGTAGCAAAAGTAGCTTTAGACCATGGACCTTTAGAAGATTTGTTCATATTTGATATAATCAATGCTTTCATTTGCCTATTACAATGGTAACTGTAGATGCATTATACTTTTATTCTACTTGGAATATTGACAATCATCTGAATGTTCTATTCATTGTAAATTGAGAATACTAATATTCCTCCATTCACCCTCTTTTTTTCTCGCTATACTCTCCTCTATATTCATGGCATATGTTATTGTTTCGTTTGGTTGATTGTCAGGTATCTGGTTCCTGCTGATCTAACCGTAGGTCAGTTTGTGTACGTGGTGCGAAAGAGAATCAAACTGAGTTCCGAGAAGGCCATCTTCATTTTTGTGAAGAACATTTTACCACCAACAGGTAATATACACAGACCCTTCTTGGTTGTTTACTTTATAATAGTTAATTGTGCTGTTAACTGGTGAATTGAGTTGTTGATTTTTGCTCATGCAGCGGCTATAATGTCTGCATTATATGAGGAGAATAAAGATGATGATGGATTCTTGTATATGACTTTCAGCGGGGAGAACACATTTGGGTTGTTGATGTGAAATATAGAAGCCCCAAATATGTCACTTTTTTTTATCAACGCGATAAAAGTGTTCACACTCACGTACAAACGTGGTTTAGAATTTGTGCTAACTAACATGTTTGACAATTTTATGTTATAATTGATTTTTTCTCTAAATTTGTGTTAGGAGGGTCAACCTCATAAATTGTAATTTTTGCATGAAGTTAAAAGATTAACATTAAATTTACGTCAAAAAATTTAAACATAAATCGCATTATTTTAAACTCATTTCTAAATAAAATCAAGTTCATTTAAACACCCATTAAGTTATCAACTAGTTTCATTGAGGGTAAAAGCCAGACTCTTGGTGTGTACTCCAGTTTGCTATGAAATGAGTTGCACCAATGTTTCAACACCCAATTTTCTTCAGGTCATTTTCGAATTTAAGCAGCATTTGACATCATTTATTTTGAACATTTTTTTCTTAAACAGAGAATTTTTGTCAATACGATTTAACAAAGAGTATATGAAGTAAAGACTTCTTTTTATATAAATAAAAAAAGAAATAAGTTAATTTTAAAACTTTTCCTTTCTTCTCTGTTCCAAGTTACAAAATCCGATAACTAGCAAACTTTTAGTTTAAAAAAATATAAATTTAGTAAAGAGTTTCAACTTAAATTTGAGAACATTTTTAACTTCAAAATTGAAAAAGCTAATACCTTTAACTATAAGCGAGAAAGTTTGTCGATCTAAAACAAAAACTGATGTACTGGACAAACTCAAAATTTCACTTATGGCTAAGCTTACGAAGAGGGCCGAACATATAACATCTCAAGTACCATGTATATAACTTTTAATTCAAATCGATAAGTATTTTGGTAATTCAATTCATTTCCATGTTTCACAAACCTTTATAAAAAAATTGAAATTGCAAATATGTGCTGGAATAGCTCAGTTGGTTAGAGCGTGTGGCTGTTAACCACAAGGTCGGAGGTTCAAGCCCTCCTTCTAGCGTTTTCATTTATTTTTCTGGTTATAGCCTTCTTCTCTATAAAAAGAGCTTATCCCCTTGCGAAACAATGATTGAACCCATGGCAAACGTGGTTGAAAGCAGAGAATGGTACTTGGCTGCGTATTCCACTCAAGGTGTTCCATCCTCTCAACATCTCAAACTCCGCACAGTCACTCTCTCACTAGCCTCTCATTCAATCCCTCAAGGTCACGTCGCCGTCGAGATTCTCTTCATCTCAGTTGATCCATACCTTCGCACTAGACTCACTGGCATCCTCGACGGTCTTTACATTCAGCAATATGAAATTAACCAGGTATTTATATATATAGTACTTAAATCTATTTTTCTAAACCATGGAACAAGTAATTAATTATAATTTTATGATCTTGGAATAATGTAGGTGATTACCGCATTTGCTGTTGGAAGGGTAGTAGAATCGAAAGACAGTAAATATACGAAAGGGGATCTTATTCTATGTTCATCTGCTCCCGTGGCTGAATATTGTATCATACCCTGTTCTGGTATAAGAAAAATTGATGCTACAAGGGGAATTTCGTTGCCGGATTATCTAAGTTCCCTAGGTATGATTGAGTGACTAATCTTTTGAGAAAAATTATAATGTCATGAAAATTGCATGATTTGTGGAGAAAAAATGATTAGAAATGTTAGGATGTGATGTGATTAATCAACGAGCTAGGATTAATTACATGTAGGGATACCTGGGTTTGCTGCATGGGTGGGGATAGTGGTGTTGGGAGACCCAAAACCTGGCTCAAATGTGTTCATATCTGCTGCCTCCGGTGCGGTTGGTATCAGTGCTGGACAGTTGGCTAAGATTCGTGGTTGCAGAGTCATCGGAAGCACTGGCTCCGACGAGAAGGTACCTTTACCAGATATACCTTTTTAACACAATGCTAAAATTTATTAATAATTATAAAAATATAAAAAATATTTCAAAGTAAAAAACATATAATTTATGTAATTTTTTTATTTTTTAAATAAAATGTCTTCCTAACATTCTTTTACCTTTGTTATTATACAACAATATATATTCTTGTGTTCACTTTATTACTTATCACGTGTTCCATTTTGTTTTCTTTAAAATTAATTTCACTTTATTACTAGATGGGTTTCTTTTCTTTCTTTTTCACGTGAATCTCGTTGTAGAAAAACTCACATAAAAGGAAGCAATCTTCTTACGTTTTTTCTTCATTCCTTTTCAAGGTCGCCATATTCACTAAAAAAAATTTTTGCACTTAAGGTCATCGTTAATTATTCCCTCTTCCAACTATTTTTTAGGATCTTGCTAATCAAGGGATTAATTAAATAATTAAAACTGATAAATTTTTATTGAAAATTGTGTTGAACTACGTTAAAAATTACAGAAAAGGTATATTATTTTTTTTTTGACAAAAGTTTCTATTTTTAATTCTTATTGGTTAACATTTGCCTTTTTTAAAAAGGGTTTTTGTAATCTTTTTAAACTTGTTGATACGAAGCTTACTTTCCTGCTCACTACCCCTTGTCTGACACATGTAGAACTGTCATCAAATCGGGTCAATTGGTATTCAAAGGAAAGGATATTTGTAGTGGCGCAGGTGCTTAAGCCACTTCTCGCCCAATAAATTAATATTACAAAGTAATTTAAAATATTTGAAAAATAATATTGATAAATTACGATACTATTTGACTCAAATTGACAATTCTTTATAAAATATTTCATAACAATATAATTCATTTTGAATACATAATATGATATATCTCTAGATTTTAATTTATTAACTTAAATATATATAGTTGTCAAAATTATATGTGACTTGATTATTGTGCTTTTGCTACATGCACTGGTCATGCCATGACAAATTAGATTTGAGCACCTATAAATATACTAAGAGGAATCTCATTCTTTCTGACACACCGGAGCTAAATCTGACCTGACACAGCCATATGGGCAACAACATGGAGAGATACCATACTTATTTAATGATATGTAAGATTAAATGCGCGTTTGGATGAGCGAAATATTATACGCAACTCTCTTCCCAATAAGCTACTCTGAGTAGCTTTAAATAAATATGCGTTTAGATTCTTTTAACGCAAAATCAAACATAATAGAAGGGTTTTTTTTATCTTTCTTTCTTAACCTTCTAGGCTTTCGTGTTTCTTTCAACTTGTAGTTTAATGGTTGTATTCTCAGGTGAAGCTCATTAAAGAGGAATTTGGGTATGATGACGGATTCAACTACAAGAAGGAAACAGATTTTGACGCCGCTTTAAGCAAGTAATACATCTTTTTTATATCCATCAATTCCTTCTCTCTCAATTGCCATAGAGCACCCTATTATATATTTAATTTTAATAAATTTAGCAGTTTAAAGTTTTCTAAAATTTCAATTTTACATTTTGTAGATACTTTCCTGATGGCATTGATGTATACTTTGATAATGTTGGCGGTAAAATGCTTGAATCCGTACTGAACCATGTCAACAAGTATGCAAGGATACCACTTTGCGGGATGATATCTCAATACAATAAGGTGAATTGAGGCCATAGTACACCTTCATTACATAAATACATTTTAAACATTCGACACGGTCAGGCAAATAACTTAATACATCATTTATTGAATGAGGGCGTATCACATGAAAACTTATTATGTCTCACGGAAATGCTTATTAAAATACGTTAACTTGCAAGATCCGATTCTCTCAAGTTTCAGTTTCATTGTAGAGTGACAGTTTTAAATCTAAATATATTATTTAATAAAAGTTAATATTATATTAATATAGTTTTACTGGAAAAGATTTAATGCTGTAAAAGTGACACTGCAGAGAACCTGTGTCATAAGTTATTTTTATATATTTGATTAAACTCCTTGGTCGGTGTTGGTATGATAAGGACTGATAAAATACATTGAACTTATAGGATCATATCACTTGCCTCGCTCAACAATTTTATTTTACTTGTACAGAAGTTTTGGTTTATGAATTAATTACTAAGAGTTAAAAAATGTTGGTACAGGTTTGGACTGAAAGAGAAGGCGTAAGGAATCTTTTGAATATGGTGGGAAAGGAGGTGAGGATGGAGGGATTTATGCTGGAATCGTATTGGCATCGTTTTGGAGATTTTGCTAAGGATATGGAAGGATACATAAAAGAGGGAAAGGTTAAGTCCAAGAATAAAATAAATATTGGAATCGAGAGTTTTCTGGAGAGCTTAAGCTCCCTATTCACTAGCTCTAATATTGGAAAAGTTGTTGTTCAAGTTAAAGCCTAATACTGTCCAGATATTGAACTGTCTCTCCCATGGTTTTGTCGTTTGATTTGTTTTAAACTAAGACTGCATATTTAATTATTTATGTGTTAAATGTAATCAGTATTTAAGATTACCCAGTAGAATTAGGTATTTTTATGCATGGGTTGGTTTGTTTTAGTTTAAGTCATTGAATTAAGTTAAAAATAACTTATTATATATGTTTTAAAAGTTTTTATCTTGTTTTATATAAAATTTAAATTTTATATTATCACTAACTAATTAAAAAAATTATTCTTCGTAATAAATAAATCAGTTTTAATCATTTATATGATTTTTTTGGAGTTTCAAATATTTTACGTTTAATTCGCCACATTAAACAAATAGCATAGAGGAGTTGAATTTTTATTTTTCTTTTTTGTTATTTTAATTATATTTTTAATTTACAATTTCATTTTAAGAAACTTTCTTTTAATGCATTTATTTTATTTTAATGATATTTGATTGGCTATTTGTTATTCATTAGGCTTTATGGTTAGTTTATTGTTAATCTGAATTTTAAACTTTTTTATTTGGTAGTGATATTCACATATTTTCTTTTTAAACTAGCTACATATTAAGGTTGAAGACGACGTTAAAGCTAAGTTTGAGGACAAGAAATATAACAGAGTGGTTACATGTGTCCAATAATAATAAAGCAACTTTAGAGAATGATGAAAAGAACTATAAATTTCAACTCACTATAAAAGGGAATATTCTATAAACTTTTCTTTTCTTTTTCTTATGTTTGGATAAAATAATTGATAAGTTTGAGAATGTTTAATAGTTCTCTTAAATATAGAAAGCACACTTGTATGGTATTTTTGGAGTATAAAAATTTGAATATTCAGAAATTTTATTATTTTTATAGTAACATTAATTAATCTTAATTAGAAATATATAAATTATTTGAGTTAAAGATATTAAGAATAAATTGTCTTTTTTGCTTACTTTGTGTATGTTGGATTAGCCATAAAATCATGAAAAATAAGCCTAAAAACATATAATGATTATTATAATTTATTTTCTTTTTCTTTATTTTCAATCTTTTTTATTTACATAAATTTTAGAATTTACTCTTTAACCTCATTAAGGTAAAAAAAAAAAAAACTAGTTAAATTAGAAAAATGATTAAGACAATTAAGCTTTTATTTGAAATTCTTAGATTATGATTATCATTAGTTATCTCTTTTGAGCTTAATGATGTTAAAAATATTTCTTTGACACTATTATTTTGATTGTAATATATTTTATAGGTAAAATTGAAAAATTAATAAAGACAAGGAAAGAAAAAAAAGTAGAAATTAAAAAAAAAGATAAATAAAATGAAGAAAAAAACAAAGAAGAAAGTAAAGGAAAAGAAAATAAATAGAAAGTAAAAGAAAAAGTTTCAGAATTAAAGTAGTTAGCAAAGCTAAAAATAAAAATAAAACATATTATCTTAAGCCTCTATTTTGTTGTAATGGATCTAAAGGTTAATTAAACTTTTTATGTATCTTTTCTTTCTTTTATATATCTAAGTTTGAGTTAAAACTTCTCACTAAATTAAACTAAATTTCTTTTATTTTATGAAATAATTAGTCAAATTAGTAAAGATTTTCAAGTTTACTAGCAAACTTGTAGTAAAATATGTTTAAGAGAATATTGAGTGGATTTTCTCTTTACCTCATTAAACACTTAAATTAATCATTCAATTAATACATTATATGTAAAAAGTTAAATTTTATTAAATTATTAACCTGAAAGTTCGTATATTGTAAATATGTTATTTGTTGCATATTAATATTTCTTAGGTTCATTAAGATGAGATTTAATATATATTTTTTTTTTTACTTTTATTGCTTGAGTACAAGTAATGTTTAAGTTTGAGAATTTTGATAAATTGTCATTTTATTATTTTATCTATGAGATTTTAGCCTCTTTTTTTTATTGAAATTGTTATTTTACCATTTAAATTAACTAAATTTCTCTTAATGTTATTGTAAAAAATAGTAACAATATAACTTTATTAAAAAATGTCAAACATAAAAAAAAAACTTGTTAAAAATGAGTAAAGAATGAGTGCATCTTGAAATTGAAATTGAATTTTAAATTTAAATTTCAAATTTTAAAAATGAATTCTAAATTGAATATAAAGTTTGAATTTACCATCAGAAAATCATATATTTTTCTAAAAACAAGTTATATTTTTGTTTAGATATAAGTCATATGTTGCAAAGAGATAAAATATATTTGAAATCGACATCTTTTATGTATTTTACATTATATACAAAGGGTCTTATACAAAAATATACTTTCACATTTAGCGAATTTGTGCTTTTTTTCTAGCTAACTTTGAAGTCATATAGAAGTAGAGATCATTGGTCACATACTTTATGCACATACTTAGACACTTGTAAAATTTGTTACCTTTTTTACTTAACTTTTAGAGTGAAGATTATTAGTGAAGACAAATGATATTTTTTTTAAGTTCAAGCTAATGATCCAAAATACTTTTTAGAGACAAGAATTTCATTCATTTTTTTCCTTCAAATTTTTTTTAGTTTGCATTACTTTTTTAATAAATATAAATTTTTTTATAATTATTTTTTGTTTTTATTTCATTATGGATAACTAAAGTTATAGTTAAAATTTTAGTAGATCATTTGTATAATTTATATGAACATGTGATTAAATTTATAAAAATTGATGTTAATCTTTTTAATTAAACAATGAAGCATTTTCATCATTATTATTATTATAAATAAAATCATCATTATTAAATAACATTAATTTTTATGAAGTATTTTTTTTTCTTATCATGGCATTTACTTTTGATACTTTGAGAATTTTTTTTATTTTAATTTTAATTTTAATTTTTTATATTATTTTTTAATTTTTAAAATTAAAATTTTCATTATTTTTTAAACTATAAAATTTATTAAATTAAAAATTTTAATAGATCTTTTGATTTTAAAAAAATTAATTTAATAATATTTGTAAAATGCCAAAAAAAAAAAACTTAATAATATTGATTATCTTTCAATACAAAAATTTAAGATATGAGTTCTTTCACGTATGATTTCAATTTTTATTAATTATTGGTTTAAATTTATTATAGTTTACAAGACTATAAATTTCAATTCTTATTTAGTAATTTCAGTTATAATTTTATATTTTTAAGTAAATTAAAAAAATTTAAAACTTTTCACAAATCGTAATTATTTTATAAGATTAATTATTTTAATAATTTATCATAAATATAATTAATCATTAAAATAATCAAATTTTTTAACTAGTTCATAAACCTCGGTTAAATTCAATCCTTAATGTTGTGGTCCCAACCTTCCAAATACTTTTGTTGCCCAAAAATTGAGTAATCTTTTTTTTCCTTATTTTAATATATAATTAACACCCCAGCTACTTTGAGATTGTGAAATCCATTTAATATGAAGTTTTTTTTTTAAAAAAAATAATTAAAACAAGCACACAAAATTAATATGCTTTAATTCACGCGAGAAAGGGTGCAAAAGTTTATTTTGAAGCAAGACATGGTTTAGAGTGCTCATTTATTTCTCCACGTGACATGTTCAAATCCAATGAAGTTATATACAGTGATTGTAGACCTGTAGCCTGTAGGTGGTCTTTCCTTTTAATATTATATATTATTATATTTTAATTAACATTTTAGTGTGTCAAAAAGTATATAAAAAATTTTATGTAATAAATTTTAATTAAAATTATAAAATATAATGTATGAATAATATCAAATGTTATTTTGAATATAAGTTTATCATTTATTAATTTTTATCATGCAGGAGGCATATATTAAAAAAGGTATTTTGATATTAGTTTTTAAAATTGATATTAAGTGTTTAAAATTGAAAATTATTTAAATTTAATAAGACTCATATAATGTAAAAAAAAAAAACTCTCAGTAATATTGATATATCTTTAGAGAACTTAGAATTTATTTTCCTAATCTAAATACAAACATGCAATAATTAGCTAATGCCAGCCTTAACTGAAATTAGAGATACTATCCTTTTAAATTTTTTTTAAAAATAGTATCTTACAACTATAACAATTATTCAACATATATATTAAAGAATTAATTTAGATTATATAAATGATTAATAAATAAGATTAAAGAGGCGTAGAACATCCATCCATCCATTAAAAAAAAAGATGGGCACATATTAATTAAATAAAAAAATTGTGGAAACAATTATGGCTGTGTAGGCCTTTGCACTATTTTCCTCAAAGTATTCAATATTTTGTTGGTTGGGGTGGGAGGACCAAATATACTTGTGAGCGTCTTTGTGCATATAATTTGTCTATAAAAGGAGCATAGGCTCAAATATGATTTGCAAAACAAGACAGAGCAATACTTATGATAAGCATGGGAGAAGAAAGCATGGACGTGGTGGAATGCAAAGAATGGTACTTAGTATCATATGCTCCAAAGGGTTTACCAACTTCCTCTAATCTTAGACTCCGCACTGTACCTTTATCACTTGCGGTTGATTCAATCCCTGATGGCCATGTTGCTATTGAGATGCTGTTTTTCTCTATAGATCCCTACCTACGCAGCAGACTCAATGGGACCGTAGATGGCCTTCACTTTTCGCAGTTTGAACTCAATCAGGTATACGGAGTATACATATATTATGGAGGAGCTAGTAATTAATTTTGTTTTGATCAATATTACACCTCTCTAAGATATATTATCAAAATAGTTTTTATAATGACTTGGACATTCACTATCCTGTGCTAAGAACTTCACACCTTCCATATTTCCAAAGCGTGAAAGAAAACATCAAGATCTCGTGTCTGCTTGCCATTGTACAAGGTTATGAGAAGAATACTAATTAACAACACTTTTAACACACTATTTTCAACATGCAATTTTCTATTATTAGATGAAATTAATTCATGGAATAGTCACTAAATAATGATTTTAACTCGCTGAATATATAAAACCAAGCTTCACATTATTTAGTGTGGCATTCTTTTATTTAAATTACTAAAAATTGATATCATGTATAATGTCATTTATCGTTATTTTTATCTTTTATATATGTGTTATATTTTAAAAATATATTTCAACTATTAGAAGAATATTTAAAGGTGCCTTTTTTTAGTGTTTTAAGAAATATTTTTTAATGGAAACGTTACAGGCGATTACAATATTTGGAATTGGACGAGTGAAACGATCAAAAGACAGCAAATATAAAGAGGGGGATCTTGTTTTGAGTGAAAATTTTCGTGTTGCTGAGTATTGTGTCATTTCCTCATGTGATATCATTGGAAAAATTGATGCTACAAGTGGGATTTCATTGCCGGATTATCTAAGCTGTCTAGGTGGGTTGATAAGGGTCTGCTATCTCAATATTTTCAATATGTTTACAATATCTCTTTCTAGCTGTTCATGTGTGTGTGTGTGTGTGTGATATATGAATTGTGGTGATTGCATTGCAGGAGTACCTGCATTTGCAGCATGGTTGGGAATTGAGGTGTTGGGAGACCCAAAACCTGGCTCAAATGTGTTCATATCTGCGGCTTCTGGTGGTGTTGGAATGATTGCAGGTCAATTGGCGAAGCTCAGAGGTTGTAGGGTCATCGGAAGCACTGGATCTGACAAAAAGGTAACTCTTTAATTAAATTTAAAAAAGGCTCCATTTTGTTAGAAAACATATATATAAAAAAATATGAATATAAATAAAGTGAACAAGTGATTACAACCATTTGATGCATGTGCAATTGGAATTACTTTTATATTTTCAATGTTCCATTTTGTTTGTTTTTATAAATGAGAATCGAAATCCGAACTCAACCGACTAACTTTCTCGAACAAACAATTAACTAAAATAAAAATTAATAGCATAATATAACAAATGGTTCGTTTGCGATTACAGATAAAAATGATTATATAAATAATGTATTTTTACAATTTTTCATTTATTAACAAAAAGAAATGTTATAGGTGATATTATTGTTTCTATCGGTGTAGTTTTCTTTTTTCAAATATTTCTTTTAATATAAACTTCTTAGTCGTGAAAGTATCTTAATTAAGTTTAACTTTAGAGCAAGTCATGTTAAAATGCTCGGATGAAAAGTTAAACAAAACACTATAAGTTAAGCAACATATATAATTACCCACATACTTAACTTAAATAGTTTTGTTGCTTTCAATTGTTACTTTTGTTATTACCATTTCTTCGCTGAATTTATTGGTATTTTTCAATTATGGTGAATGATTTCTCAGGTGAAGCTAATTAAAGAGGAATTTGGGTATGATGATGGATTCAACTACAATAAGGAAGAGGACCTTGATGCCGTTTTAAGCAAGTAATCAATTCTCCAGCTCCCAATTTTGCACCGAGACGCCAATATGTCAAAATTGGATAAATTTTAATTTCACGAGGTTAACCAAATTTATAGGTCCAATTTTGTAGGTTCTTTCCTAATGGTATTGATGTTTAGATGCCGTTTTAAGCAAGTAATCAATTCCACAACTCCCAATTTGCACCAAGACGTCATTATGTTAAAATTGGATATATTTTAATTTCATGAAGTTAAGCAAATTTATGAGTGCAATTTTGCAGGTTCTTTCCTAATGGCATTGATGTTTATCTTGACAACGTTGGCGGCAAGATGCTTGAATCTGTACTTAATCATGTCAACCATTTTGCCAGGATACCACTTTGCGGGATGATATCTCAATATAATGAGGTGAACTGGATCTATATGACAGTAGACTCAATTTTTGAAGTGTGTGTGTGTGTGTGTGTGTGTGTGTTGGGAGAGAGAGAGAGAGAGAATCAAGGTTATAGTGAGTTTTACCTAGATCTTATATATGGATTTCATATTAACCATAGGTCACAGATAAATCGAAGTTTAAAAATATTGGATAAATGCCTTGTTATAGTATAATAAAAAGTTACTGAAGTACATAAAAATCGTGAGTATAGATAATTAAATATTATGAAAGAAAGTTTATGTAAATACAGGTTTTTGAATATACATCCACAATTATTTTAGAATTCACAGCACCTATCACCTTCAGTTCCAGTGACGGATCCAAGATCCTAAAATTAGGGGATGTAAAATATAAAATAATATTATTAATAATAATTTATTAAAATTAAAAAAATTTATGAAAGTTGAGGAGCATTTACCTCCTCTCAACTGAACGTGGATCCGCCACTTACCTGTCACATGCATGTCTCCTATATTTTACCAATAAAAAAATGACTTTAAAGAATCTTCTTTCGAAAATGGCAACACTGTCTTCACAGAGATGCTTGTCTCAGGCCGGGCTTCTATATATCATTCCACGAGTTATCACTTAAGAACATGCCAGTTTTTCCTAATTTGAAATTTTTAAGTTTAATTAGAAAACAGGTTAGTTCCCTGATTTATTATTCATTGGTTTAAAAACAAGTGGCTCAAAATTTCCAATTTTCATCATCTCATTTTAAGATCATATTTTTCATCTAAATTGCATAGGGTTGGTGAAGCTGACAAAAATATTTGTCCAAAATATACTAGGCCCAATTTGACATGGTGAATTGAATGTTAAGCTTTTGAGTATAATCTATATGTTTTGTGTTTTCCAAGAATTTACCTTGTATATATATATATAACCTTGTGGTGTAGGTTTGGACAGAAAGAGAAGGCGTGAGGAATCTTTTGAATATGGTGGGAAAGGAGGTGAGGATGGAGGGCTTTATACTGAAATCACATTTCAACCGTTTTGGAGAGTTTGCTAAAGAGATGGAGGGATACATGAAAGAAGGCAAGATTAAGTCCAAGAATAAAATAAACATTGGAATTGAGAGTTTTCTAGACAGCTTAAACTCCTTATTTACTAGCTCTAATATTGGGAAACTTGTTATTCAGGTTAAGGATTAGTGTCCGTACAGTATATATGCTTGATCATGATGACTGTGATTTTTATTTTTTATCGAATGATGGTGATGTTTGAGTAATTGAGACTTTACCGTAAGATATTTGTGCTCTCTCCTAGTTTGGGACTCAATACAAATGAAGACGGAGGAGTGTATGTTACCATTACTTGATATTGTGTTAAGGAGTTTGAATTTCATCTATTATTAACTAGTGCAAGTTTATATCATCTTTGAAATAATTTAATAATGGCTTCAAATTATCGATGAAGTTCATTTTTAGTCTAAGATTATTAAAATTAAAGTTTTCTCAGCACAATTGGGGGTTAGGTTCACATCAATAACTGGTAAATTAGTTGACAATTGGAAGACTAACTGAAACGTTAAAGAAAAAGAGTGAACAAAGGTTGCTAAAATAAACTAATAAATTACATGTAAATATAAAATGAATATTCATACAATTTTTATATATAAATTATTTTTTTGAATAACAATATTTTTTTAGTTAATTGTTGTTTAGGTTTTTCAATTTGATTTTACGCTTATAATTTTTTGATTTAAATATTTTATTAAAAACTTAAAATAAGTAGTGTAATTATTGAGATTTTTTCTTAACGCATCACAAGTGAACCGTGTTGTTTGCAAATAATAATTGATGAGATACGGGATATCGTCTTCATAGAGTATAATAAATTGTATTAATTATTAAAATCTAAATTAATTGAGCATATATATAAAGAGATTGATTGATGATTTTTATTAAATTGTATAAAAATTATAATTTAAGAACATAATTTAAAATATAGTTAAAATTAAATTAGAGAAACTAGGTACAAATTTCATCTATCTCCTTCTTTGTATTGTAGTGATTTATATATATATATATATATATATATATATATATATATTATTTTCATTGATATTGATGCAAAATATCAAAATTAGATATTTTAATTCTTTGAAAATATACTTTTAAAATAATTTCTTAAAGGCTAATTCCTCGAATGATTAACAAACTATTTAGTACTAAGATCAAGATTTAAAGTAATTAATAACTTGAAATTTATTCCTAAAATAACCAGTTATTTAGTAATCTAAATAAGATCTGCATTTGAGCAATACCTTTTTAGATATAACTCATATCTAAGCTCAAAAGCTATTAGTAAATAGATTCAGCCATTAAACACAAAATGAAATCACCAAATCAATAGAAATAAAGACTACTAGAAAAGCGTCATTTATAGACAGATTTGCAGACGAATTTGTGATTTTATTGTTTTTGTAACTTCTGAAAAATTCATCTATAAATCTGTCTATATTACAGACGAATAAATATCCATATGTAGTTTGCCCGCAATTTTGAATATGGGAGGGAAATTTGGAGCAGGAATTACAGATGAATTTTTCCATCTGTAAATATGACCCTGTTTAACCGACTTTTCATGTTGCTATTTACAGACAGATTTTTCCATCTGTAAATGAAATTGATGAATTTACAGACGGATAAAAATCCGTCTGTAAATGGACTTTTAAAACGCATCGTTTCATTAAACCATTTATAGACGGATTTTCCCGTCTGTAATGTCTGAAACTCATAAAACTGCGCCTCCTCCTTCCCCTTCCTCATTTTTCATAAATCTCTCTTTCTCTCTAACCTCTCTCTGTCTCTCTCTAGGAGCTCAGTTTTTTAGCTTTTGTGAGTGATTGGAGCATCCTTTTGAAAGATAATTTGCATCATTGTGTTCCTGGTATGATACTCTAACTTTTAATCGGTTTATTTTTTTTTATTTTTGATGTATTTTAGAGACTTAAAATTTCTAAGATAGAGTTGTAGGATTGAAGATTGTATGACTGGGGAGAAGAGCGTAGAGGTCCTTCTCCGAACCTTATTATTGTGTGCTGTGAGATTGTTTGTGTTTGTGGAGTTTATAGAATATGCATGTTGTGGAGTTACAAGGGGATGTGCTCTAGAACAGTTTGAGATTGTAATATGTATGATTTTTATGCATTGATTAATAGATTGTTATATAATATATAGATTATTTGTAAAGAAAATTTAACTTTTTGTATTAAGTACGTGTAAACAAATGTAAGGAAATATTAATATATTGGAAAGATTCTGCCGAAAAAATTTGTTATATTAAGTTTAAACAAATATAGGATATATTATTGGAGATTCTACCAAAATTTACATTAGAAATTTGTTTTATTAAGTGCAAACAAATATAAGAAAATATTTAATATTATGAGAGATTCTGCCAAAATTTACATTAGAAATTTATGTAATGTAAAATAAAAGGTTGATACAATATTGTGTATTTAGTCTTTAAACATGTATTATATTTGTTTCAGATATGGCAGGTAAAGGTAAGAAAGGTATTGCTCAATGTCATAATCGTGGCAACACTGCTTCACCCACTGCTCCCACTTCCACCTCCACACCAGCTACTATACAGACCTCGCAGGATAGGGGACAAGAACAGCTTATCATGGTGCCCAACCCTGGGTATGTTGCTCCTCTCCCTTCACTGCTGACTACACATGCCAAACAACCTCCTTCTACACATTGCACAGATGAGGGATCCACTGCTGTCCTAGCTGTAAGTGGGCAGCAATCGTCACAGACCCAAGGATCATCGAGATCGCTTCCAACTTTAAGATGGGATGAGTCTACTTGGTAAGTTAAATTTAAAATATGAATAATAACTCTATTTGATGTGAATGTTATAATAATTGTATTATTTTATTGTGTGTTAAGTTGGATTCCACCACAGAATGGTCTCCACCAGGTGACAGATACCACTAAGAAGATGTTTGATGCGCCTTACACAAGTTTTGCAAAGGTGCCTAAGGATACAAAGATGGAATGGTTCAAAGATTGGAAGGTAATAACAGTTAATTAATTTCAGTTAAGTGTAATTAGATATTGTTTCTTGTAATTCTTCTAATGAAGTTGTATTTATGTAGAACAACTTCTCCATTCTCCCACAGGATGAAAAGATGATTTTGCAAGGCATGGAAGAGTCGCACTGCAAAGCTAAGACAGATATACAGTGAGGCCCGTTAGGATCCATCACCTGCTGATTGAATAGCACCTAACTTCCTTCATGTCTTGCAGGAGTATTGGGGTACGGATGAGTTTAAAAATCTTTCCGTAAAGAACAAGACAAGTAGGGCATCCTTAAAAGGAGGATCATTGCATACTGGTGGTTCTACGACTTTGACTGGCACTAAAGCAAACTTGATATGTAATTTTTAATTTTCTTTTAAAATTTATTTTATTCAATCTATAATTGATGAGTGAGACAGTAATTTAATTGAAATTACAGGAAAAGTCACTGAAGAGACCACCTACACATGGAAAGGTGTTCAAGGAGACACATACTCGCAAGGGAGATAAAACCTTGTGGGTTGATACACGATCTCAGGCCACATATGTAAGTCATCCTTATTGACACTATATGTTATTATTAATAATTTATTAAATAGTTTTCGAGACTAATATATAATTATATGCATTGAACTATATAGGATGATTATGTTCAAAGGCTTGAGGAGACATCTTCTCAAGATCCAGAGTAAGTTCATGATGATACTATATGGTTAGAGACGGTGGGTGACCTTTATAAATGTCGCATTTACGGCATGGGGAGCTGCTTTGCAGACTCTATGTCCCCTGCATCTGTCATTGGAGATGCCCCTTCTCTTGTTCCTGAGGAAGTGGAGGACATAGTCCGCACTCAGGTCCATGCCTTCAATGAAGAACTGCAGAAACAAAATGAAGAGATGTGGAAGAGCAAGGAAAGTGCACGGAAGAAGAAGTGGGCGAAGAAAATGGAGAAAAAGATAGAGAAGAAGGTGGCATCGAGGATGCAGAGGGAGGTGCAGCAACAGATGCAGCAGATGCATGCATACTTTGAGCTCATGAGAGCAAGCACCTCTACACCTCTTCCTCCTCCTCTACCAGCTCCAACACCACCAATCTTTAGCTTCATGCGTCATTCCTCCTCTGACTCCTCCTCTACTTATGACGATACTTTTTTGGCAGATGATCACACTGATTATTAGTGACATACAATATTATTTTATTTTTTATATTATTTTTTTAGATGTTTACTTCTCCATTTGTAATGAAATTTTAATTTTATATTTTATAAATAATTTTTTATTTTTAAATATATAATTTTATAGTTTTTATTATGCTTATAAATTTGTGATAATTAGGAACAACGAGGAATAATTATGTTTATTAAAAAATGAAACAATTTTTTTTAAAATTTCATAAACGAATTACAGACGAATTTTTAAATTTGTTTGTATTTACTTACCAACGCGCATATTACAGACAGACTGGAACCGTCTGTAGTGCTAAAATCTGTCTGTAATAATGAAAAAATTTGTCTGTAAATCTGTCTATATTTTCAGGTTTTCTAGTAGTAGAAGAAACAACTATATATATATATATATATATATATATATATATATATATATATATACATATGTGTGTGTGTGTGAATCACCAAGAATACATCAAGTTTGGGAATTTACATTTAATCCCACAAGAGTTTTAACTGCTCATTGCAGTCATAACATCAAATCAAAAAGTAAAAATGACTTGTAGATCTTGAATCTGAGTGTTCCCACTCGTTTTTGATATTCTTAGCCTTTTTTCTCCCTCTAAATCTCTTATTAAAAAAGTAACTTTTTTCTAAAAAACATAAGTTGCCTTTTATATGAGTATGGACGAAGCTATTCTGGCTACACAACACCATACTCGCTGTAGCGAGAGCTAGAAGTAAAAAATCAGTCATTTTGTTGCTTCTCACTGTATGTCTCACTATAGTAAAAGAAGACATGCTTGTTACAGTGCCAATATTCTCGTTGTAGCCAGAAAATATGTCCATAATAGGATTCTCTATTTGCTCCTTGTTACAACGAAAGATTTTTCGTTACAATGAGAAGAGCATAGAATCACATTTTTTTCAAAAATAAATCTCCACTACAGTG